GTCCGTAACATCTCGGTTCACGGGGCCTGGGCTCGAGTTCGGGCGCGGCACCGTACCGGCGGACAACTCCAACGGAACACGTGCACAGAGCGCACTCCACCACACCAGCCCCCGTTGCATTCCCATTCGCATGCAAGCACGCAAGTTCGAAGCATGCCCAAGCTTGACCACAAAGCTGTGCCAAAGCACGAGTCACGAGTCACGACGGACGGTCGTGATGGAGCGCTCCGCCGGCGCTCCGGCAACTGTCAACTATCAACTATCAACTATCATGCCTGCCGAGGATGGATGACCTCGGATCCCAGACCTTCACGAATCACTGCCCCAAAGCTCAACTGTACAGCGCCGTCAACTGCGGGCACTCTCAAACCCACCTTTCGTGTCGCGTCGCAATGTGCGGACTCTCTGTTTGCAGGTCGACCCAGTCGAGTCCGGACGTCGACCAAGCGGTAAGCAGTCCAGCCAGCCAGTCGGGTCGGTCCGGCCTTGCTTACAGCCCGGGTAGAAAACATGATACATGATACTTTCCACAGCTGCTACCGCTGTAGTACTGTGTAGGTCACAGGTGGGGTGAAAAGACAAACCCGAAGTTGATATTGAAACCGGGCAGCGCTCGATGCGGCCCCGGGACGTAAGCTGCATAGGACAGGAGTCAGGTGCTTAGGTCTTAGTAAGGCGTAGGGCTGCAGAACGGTATGTATAGTCGGGGAACATACGGCCGGATGGTTTATACTGCACGCGCTGCTACTATAATGGTGGTGAGTCGTGAGTCGTGGGTGGTGTGGAGGTGGGGAAGTAGTGTTGCTGCGCCTGGGTGTGATTCGCGGACGTTGTCGATAGCGGCCGTAGACCGTGGTAGCGTGTGAACAGTCAGCCTGCACCCATATCAACGTCCTTCACTCATTATTCACTCGTCCGACTGCGACGACGGCAACGACGCTGCATATGACGCACCGCTGTAGAAACTGACGGCACAATGGGAAACCGTTTCGCTTTCAGTGCCATCCAAAACCGTCGCCAACCTACGCGCCGAGCGGCCCAGGCCGGCAACCCCAAACCCTGGCCCACGGGATTACAACGTTCGTTCGCTAGTTCCGCGTCACCGCTTGGCCGGGCCACCTCCAATTACTGCATGCGGTAGAGTACGAGTACTCTACGCCAAAAGTGTGGGGCGCTGCTATCGATTGGGAGTAAGGCGGGCCTGCTCACGTCATACCGATTATGTATGCTTGGGGTGGTACAAGGCGGTACAGAGCGGTACAGAGGTCGTTGCCTGGATGAGCGCTGTCAAGGTTCGCAGAGGTACGGATTCCCACCACTGCCGCTGAGTGGGTAGGTGGAGGGGGTATGTTAGGCTGCGACGGCGGAATGTTTGGATGGATCCGCAGACTCCGCAGGCTCCGCTAGGCTGTCGTGCGAAACGCCGCCGTGGCCTGTGTCGTCCGAATCCGCCGTTGGGAGGGAGGTGTACAAATACGCCAGCCCAGCCCGCCCTAGCCCCTCCACCGCCCTTCACCGCCCTGCAACCTCTCGAGTCACCGCCGCCCCAACCACCGCCCAACCACCCTCCAACCACCCTCCAAAATGGACTCCTTCCCCCTCTCCACCGCGCCGCAGGCCTATCTCGACATAAAACACATCCCCGACTTCTTCGTCGCGCTCGAAGCCCTCGGCTGGAACCTCTGCTACATCGCCCTCGCCATCCAATCCCTTCGCGACCGCTCCTACGGCATGTCCCTCATCGCGCTCTGCAACAACATGGCCTGGGAGCTCGTCTACTCCGTCATCTATCCCCCGGCGGGTAAACTCGAGCAGGGCATGATCCTGCTCTGGGTCCTGCTCGACGTAGTCATGATGTACTCCGCGCTGCGGTTCAGCGCGCTGGAGTGGCGGCACGCGCCGGCGGTGCAGCAGCTGCTGCCCGTGATCTTTGCCGCGGGCGTGCCGTTCTGTGTCTGGGGCCACTGGGCGCTGGCCGTGCAGCTCGGCCCCGAGTATGGGATTTTTTGGGGCGCCGTGAGCTGCCAGATCGTGCTCAGCGTGGGCGCGCTGGCGCAGCTGCTGACGCGCGGGAGCACGCGCGGCGCGTCGTGGGCGATATGGTGAGTGCTGTCGGGCGTGGGGGGCCGTGCGGTGGTGTGCGGTGTTGTGAGTGTGGTGCTAATGCGGAGATGTTAGGTGGGGCCGCTTCATGGGCACCAACTTCTCGACCGTGGTGTTTGCGTACCGCTATCTGTACTGGCACGACGTGTTCGCGTTCGTCGCGGCGCCGATGATGCGGTGGTGCCTCGGCGTGCAGCTGACGGTCGATCTGGCGTATGGATACTATTTTTGGAAGATCCGGGCGCAGGAGAAGCGGGTGGGGCAGGTGGGGAGCGATGGGGGTGTGAAGAAGTTGTAGACGGCGGCGGCGGGGGGAGCAGGGGGAGCGGGGGGCCGGGGGGGTACAATGGGCGTTAGTTTTGGTGGCCGGGGGGTTGGGAGGTGGGAGGTGGGAAAAGCGGATACGGGTCGTATATATGGCGTTGGGGGCTTGTGCTTTTCGGGGTGTGTAGATAGACTGGTATGACACGCCTCACTGAAGCTAATTGTTCAATCGTGAGTTCCGTTCTTGACCACCGCCGACTGCCGGTCCCGTAAACCAGAGCGCACGGATTGCGTGGCTATCGCTGCGGGAGGCTGTAGAACGGTGGGCGGTGGGCGGTGGGCGGGGTAAAATGTCGGGTCCCAAGAACGCTGTGTACTCCACGGCCTCCAGCCACGCCGATTGCCTTGCCGCCTTGCGTCTTCGCGGGTATGGCCTGCGCAGTCTGGTCTGGTACGGAGACGGACGTTGGCCACCTCTGTCCACGCTCATCTTGGTGACCAGTCACGCGTTTTATTCCTGACGAGCCGGTCATGTTGGCGGAAACGCGACTGGCCGCTCAACTAGAAAGCCGGGTATGTACATACTGCGCCCACTGTACAGCTCGCCGGCCAGAACATGTGCATATTCCACCGCGGATGTGCTTTTGGAGCCGCTGATGTCTTTGATATGAACGATGATAAAAGAAATGATGAACGATGATGAGAGGTTGTTGACGGGCAAGTAGAAAAATCTGAGGCCGTGAACCATCACGTTCGCGTCACAATTTCCAGCCCCGAGTGACCACCGATGCAACGGCCGGCCGTACACGTCACATGCCCATTCCACACACCGATCCAACATCAGCATTTCTTCAGGGAGCGTGCAGACCCTCGCAATCGTGATGTAAACACATAGCATTAAAAAAGTAAGCAGCCTCTAGACGTGATCCTAACTGCGCAAGCCATCCCTCAGCTTCCGAAACAAATTCCGCTTCTTCTTCACTTGCGTCCCTTCTGTCTTCCCCGTCTTCCCCGTCTTCCTCGCAACATCCCCCGGCCCTCCCGCACCCACACCCGCACCCGCACCCGCAACCGCACCCGTACCAGTACCCCGCTCCGCAAACGGCCTCGAATAATGCCGCACCGCCCCACTCCGCTTCAACCGCCCCCCAGCGTCCGCCCCGTCCATCCCGCCCATCCCGTCGCTTATAGTTCCAATCCCCGAGTTTGCGTCCGTGACTGTAAGTACCGATAGCGATGTTGTCGACGGCGTATGCAGCATCTGTGTCACCTCATTCGACGGCGGCGCCGCAGTCGCGAACGGCGTGGTTGCGAACTTTGGCACCTGCGCTGGCGCTGCCGTGCGGGCAAGTGTTGTCTGTGAAGAGGATGTGCTCGACCTCGCTGTGCCCGTGTCTGTCTCCGTGTGCGTGTCCGTCGTCGATGCGTGGCAAAATAGCCGGCCGTAGTAGTCTGCGTATGCACTCTCCTTCCCCTGCTCCACCTGCACCTGCTCCACCTCCTTCACCCCCTCCACCCCTTCCACCCCTTCCACTTTCTCCACTTCCTCGACCTGCTGCACCACCTCGCCTGCCTCCCCTCCCGCCGCCTCCCCCGCCGCCTCGGCATCACCCCGCCGCCACCCCTCCAGCAAGTCCCGATGAAATCCATGGATCTGCCACACCTCATACAGCACCTGCGACGCGCCCATCGAGCGCGCCAAGCGGTGTTTTTCAGCGTCGTCCGGCGACCAGCGCGGCAGCGGGAACGGGAAGAGTTCGGACCAGGGCATGAGCGGGGGGAGTGTGTGGGAGCGGTGGGGGCGGGGCATAGGGGTTTAAGGAGTTGGGGAGTTAGAGAGTTAGAGAGTTAGAGAGTTAGAGAGTTAGAGAGTTAGGAAGGGGAGTTGGGGAGTTAGGAAGGGGAGGAAGGGGAGGGGAGGAAGGGGAGGAAGGGGAGGAAGGGAATAGGGGGAGGGCTGGGAGGGCTGGGAGGAGGTGGGGGGAGGGTGTTTGTATGCCGTCGCATTGAATGGATTGTTTTTGGATTTGGTTGGATGCCGGTGTGGGTGGATGCCAGTGTGGGTGGATGCCAGTGTGGGCGGATTCGGCGTGGCAGCAGATGCTACACGTCCCCATGCGGCCTTTGCAGTGTGAGCGGCCACTGGGCGGCCGCGGGCGAACGCCCTATGGCCGCCCGGCCCAACACATAACCACAACCCCACTCCAAAGCTTTCCAACTCCTAAACACAAACATATCTGCAGCGGTAAACAAATCTGCCCCTCCAGTTCCGTTATTTCCGGATCTCTACAAACAAGTGTCAAGCCATACGCCGAGGCCGGCGCAGGTGATGGAGTGATGTCAAGACCCGCTTGGGCAGCCAGCTCTGGCATTGAGGCCAGCACGATTAAACCGATTCTGCGGTCTCCAGGTTGAGCTGCTGGAAGAAGGAAGACTGGTATGCGCCAGCACTGACTTGGAGAGCTCTAGGCACTGCGAATCACTCCCACAAACCCCGTCTACAAGGCCCAAATCCTTTTGTTCAACCAGCACACCCCCGTGAGTCCTACTTCCTCCCATCACATCCCCACAGCCCCAGCAGCCCCCATCTAGTACAATCAAAATGATAAGGTGCATCACGGAATCTCATCAACGGTAAGGTGGCCGAGTGGTTAAGGCGTTGCACTCAAGAGTTTCTCTTTCTCCTCGCAGAGGGGGTTTGCAATGGAGCGATCCGCGCGAGTTCGAGTCTCGTCCTTATCAGTATCTCTTTTTGTCTCCCATGCTTTTGTCAGGGGGCTGGCCGAGAAGGCGATGGTGTTCAGCACAGAAGGGATGGAGCTCTGAATATCGACATCACCAAGGTCGAGTTGCACGGGTTCAATTCCTGATGAGATACCTATGTCCAGCACCCGTTGCTACAAAGTACAATATAGCCGCCTAACTTCCCTTCGGCATCACAAACCGCCTCCTCACCCCCGTCCAAGAATGCTGATTATACGCCTCCTGCACCTTCCCACACCCCACCCGTCCCCACTCGGTGACACCCACACAGTACACACTCTCAAACATAAACGCCATGCTCCCAGCGCCCACCTTCATGGGCGGCTGCTCCGCCTCACTCGCCGTCTCCGCCGTCGTCGCATCGGGTCCATGCGCACTCATAACATTATGCAGACTCGCGCCGCCGGGCTCAAACCCGCCGCCCTCCTTCGCATCATAGTCGCCCGCGATCAGGCCCATAAACTCGCTCATGGTGTTGCGGTGGTACCACGGCGGTCGGAACGTGTCCTCGCCGACCAGCCAGCGCGGCGGGAAGATGACGAAGTCGGCCACCGCGGTCCCGGATACGGGAGAAGGGCAGGTGAGAACGGTGAAGATGGAGGGGTCCGGGTGGTCGTAGGAGATGGAGCCGATGGTGTTGAAGAGCGCGAGGTTGTATTTGTACGGATAGTAGTTGCCGTGCCACGCCACCACGTCCCACGGCGAGTGCGGCTGCGTGGCTTCGAAGAGGGACCCATCGCATTTCGTCGTGATGCGGAACGGCTCCCAGACTGGCCGTGCGGCGACGTCTTCGAAGCTCGCGACCGGGACCTGGAAATCCCGTGGATTGGCAAGCCCGTTACTCCCAATCGGACCAAGCTCAGGGAGCTCAAAGTGCCCCTGCGAGAACGTCTCGAGGATGTACCCGCGCGCCTTCTCGCCGGCGGGGAGCGCGACGTGGAAGCGCACGCCGCGCGGGACGACGGCGATTTCGTGCGGGCGCACGAACAGGCGGCCGAGCTCGGTGCGGATGTCGAGCGACCCGGTTTGCGGGACGATCAGGAGGTCGCCGTCGGTGTTGTAGAACGCGGCGTTGGGCGCCATCGAGCGCCCGCACGCGTAGATGTAGATCCCGAGGCCTTCTTTAAGGCTAACGTCGCCCGCGCCGGCGATCATGTGCAGGCCTGAGATGAAGTCGGCCTCGGGATCGTGGTCGAAGGGGGACCAGCGGAGTTGGTTCGGGAGGTGCCGGAACTGGGCTGGGCGCGGGTGCACGGTGCGCTCAGACGCGAGGAGGGCGGTGAAGGGCGTGTGCGAGGCGGAGGGGAGGATGCGGTAGAGCCATGATTGCCGGTTGGTGTGGCGGGGCGCGGTGAAGGCCGAGCCCGAGAGCTTTTCGGCGTAGAGACCGTAGGCGGGTTTTTGTGGAGAGTTGCGGCCGAGCGGGAGGGCGTCGGGGAGGGCTTCGGTGCTGTGGTGCGAGGGGAAGCCGGAGAGGTAGGTGTATGGGTCTTCGGCGGTGAAGACGGAGGACTCGGTTTTCGACGCCATGGTGTTTGATCGTGGTGCTGCTTATGGAGTAGGGTTCATCAATGAATCGTAGAGATATAGGGATAGTTCGTAGAGCTCATTGATATGAGATGGAGAGATGAGGATGTTGCGGAGTAAAGATGTTGTTTAGATATCCAGACGTCACTGGGCCGAGTGTATCCGCCCCTAGCCGCCCCCACAACCCCGCCCCGGATCGCCTCCGCCGGGGCCGATAAACGCCCGCTCGGTTAGCATGGCACATGGCTAGCCCCATTACTAACAACGGTTAGATTTTGAGTAATTCTTATAAATTGAGATCTCGCTGTTTACAGCATGACACCTCCAGCTACGACACGAAGCTTGGAAAGCATTATCGGCCTAAAACAACGATTCTTAATGCGCCATGTTAGATCAGCCAAGTGTTTGTGGTATGATGCGGGTATGATGAATACAATACAGCTCATTCATCTGTCAATTGAATCTCAATCGACGCGGTACAGGCCGTTAACTTTGAGTTGGAAACAGCTGCAGTTCAATTTGATTTGAGGAGCATTCGTATCGACAAATCCATGATATATACGAATTTAGATGATTTAAAACAACCATCTGCACCAATATAATAACAGTTCTCATGCCTTGTTTTTTTTCCTCCACAGTTGCATCTACTCACCTAGCTCCACTACTGCCAACCACATACCCCGCGCTGCATGCACCTCCACCGTTAACCCCACACTTGGACTCTCTAGCTCTCGAATCCCAACAGCGCCGCAAGTTTTAATGTTCTTGGTCAACTTTTGCAGGGGTGGGGATAACCCGGGTGAACCAGCGCGCATCAGTCAGGTTGATCTAAGTTATGAAGCAGTCGATGGTGCCATTGAACGTCTGCGCGAGTGCCTTCGATAACATAATTACCTTCTTTAACAGAAATTTTCAATATCGCAATCGTTCTCTCCAAGCCTCCAAGCCCAACCATAATCCAGCTACATCTACCCACCCACCCCATCACGTGCTCATAACCTCCCCAACCACAACATGTCCAGCTACGGTCATAGAAACATGAACACAAGGCTTCCCGTCCGCTCAGCCCTATTTAAGCATGTTATAGCCCTATTTAAGCATGTTATCGCCCCGTTAGTACTGCAGTGGGTGACCATGCGGGAATCCGGGGTACTGTAGTTTTGGAGTTTTTTGCGGATCACGGTCACGTCACGTAGATCGATCGATACAGATGTGCCGGCAACTTTGGGGATTTTTATGGAGGTGAGTTTGGGGTCTTGGAGCTGGGTCGGGATTGCACTATTGGAGATAGACGAGTTGAGGCTGTATACAAATTGTTTTGCAGAGTGATGGTACACTTTAGGGAGAGATGTACCGCAAAGGAAAAGAAGTACATATTCGAGTTTCAACCGCAGCCTACGGCTTCCTTGCGGAACATAATACGTATAGTGAACCACATGCACGAACCAGGCTCCCTTTTTTATTTGGGCAGCCTATAGGGCAACAAAATAGCTTTGTAACTACTGACGGCCTGAGACCGAGTGACACGATGAGCAAAAAGTGATTTCGGCCAGGCTCGATCTGGCGACCTTCAGTGTGTTAGACTGACGTGATAACCAACTACACCACGAAACCGTTGATGTTGAGCCGTCTCGCGCTGTCCTTTTGTACAGTTCAAACTATGGGGCACGGAGCTGGGAACGGTCTGCGAGACAAAGGCAACGGTCAAAAACGGAGGACAACATCGTTAAGTTAGACTTGTGCTTAGGTAACAAACTCTCGGTATCGTGATGTGGCCAGGGGGTGAAAAGCTTCATTAAACCCGCTGATGCGTGGTGAAATGCCTGGTTTATTAGTTGTTGAGAATTGGTATGTGTAAATACTAAGGCTAAAAGGATACTAAAACAGAGCTTTGTTTCATTGTATGGTCGCTCGGCGATGTGCCGGAGGACAAAAAGTCAGTGACGGCGACCAATACCGGTAGCGACAGAAAATACGGTATTTAACCACTATAGCCAGTCATATTGCATTTCCAGCGGAGACATAGCATCTCACTCGATTGCCGCTGACCAGCAGAAATGCGTATCGATACGTTTGTGACGCTGATTAATCCGTTTGTGACGAATCCTTACTGTTACCAACAGGTTTCGATATATCCACGTGACTCTGCACTCTTGTTGCGTAAACTGCCAATCACTGCATTCTGCTTATTAAACAATTTTCCAATGTCCCATCCACTCCGGCTACAGGAACCAAATAGTCACGGGTTTGTATTGAAACGAAACGGTACAATACGGCTCATTACCATACGTTGCATACACCATTGTAACGGTTCAATATGCGTTACTGATTACACGAGATATTACAGTCACGGGGTTGTATTGATACCATACGTTACAATACAGGTTATTACCATACTTTACAAACACGATTTTGTTGATTCAATACGCATTCCTGCATGCAACAACTCTTCTGACGTGTGAACCCTGTTTGTGACAATATCGATTCGACACGAACTGTGGACTCAGCCTCACAAACGTATCGATACACGTCCTAATGATCAAACAGGAAAAGGGGTCATGTGAGATCACCAGAAACACAGTTTTGGCTGCAAAACAAGGCACGTGACCAAGTGGGCCAGTGATTTAAATCCAACTTCTCGACACCACTTCACTTCACCACCAGCAAGCATATACTGCTCAAAGTCGATTCTCGAACCACCTTCGGCACCGAATCCAACGTCCCTCGGTGGTACCTAGCGGCGGGTCATCCACCTGGTTTACTAAACCTCCACCCCAGTCCTCATCACATCACTCGTCACCCCTCCACCCCTCCAATCCCCCAACCCCCCGTCGGCCATATCCGGCGCCCTCAAAGCGAGCACCATAAATACCACACCTCCCGCCCCACTCCCATCCCCGCCAACAAGCCCACCCCGTCCAAAATATGTTATCACCTCTCGCGTCCACCGCCGTGGAACAATCCGCATTCAGCATCCATCCACGCGCAATCTCGGGGCCCACGGGACGGCGGCGCACGGCCTTTGAACCGGCATCTGCGACGCTCCCCCTACCCCGGGAGCCGCTAGAATTTTCCAGAAGCAGTGGGGAGGGCGTTTTGGTGCCTGGAGGCCTCACAGCGGTACTATATCTCGAGCGCAGGCAGGAAATTGGAGGTGGAGACTGAGATAGCCGATAGCGGTGAAGTAGGGGTCGTGGGAACGGCACTCATGTAATCATCCCGCAGAGATATCGGATATCGGACCACCGGCCATTCGGGTGCGACGTCGTAATCGCCATAAGCTCGACATTGTCGTGCCAATAATAACAAACCAGCACAGCTCCGGTGAAGACCCCGTCGTGTGCGGCCCCGCGGCGAGGTCGGAGGGCGTGATCGCCATATATCGTGAACTAAATATACGAATTCCGTTCCTGCGCCGACGGTGTAACTGAGCCAGCGAGTAGCTTGAGTAA